GCAGGAATGGGGCAGGAGACCCCAAAAAGACTCATTGTGCTTGTTGTGAGCAAAAAGCAAAACAAAAACGTGGAGGTTTACTGTCCTTTGGTACATGAGGACCAGAAAAAACAAAATATGGCTGTGACCCCATGGGACGAGTGGGGAATAAGAGCTCTCGTGCTTGTTAGTTAACACAAAGATTGAAATGTGGTTGAGGGAGCTGATCCCAGCTTTGATAACTGTGTTTGTTGTATTTTCCAGAGCGTAGCCCACAGGTTATCTGGAAGAAAAGCTTTTGATTTGGCAGTGTTTGGGATTGTTTATGTACACACGAGTGCACATGCAGGCGAGGCAAGAGGAACTGATCTGCAGCAGCCACCACACCACCAGCCTCTCATTCTTTTCCTGCTCCAATAACATTTCCCTGCTTGATTTTTTGGGAGCTCCTTCAAAATGTGGGATCTCTGAAGCTCTCTTTTTGAGATACGGGTGCAATTTATGTCTGTTTGTGCTCTTAATGATGATGCAGATTTAAATATTTGACCAGACTTGTTCTTATTCCTGTTCTTGTTCTTATTCTCATTCTCATTCTCATTCTCATTCTCATTCTCATTCTTCTAAGATTTCTTATTCTTATCAATCCCTGTGGAAAATCCTGTGAGCTTCAGCCCTGGAACAGCAAATGGAACACGATGCAACCTCTCTGGCAGCCCAAACCATTTTTTTTTTTTCTCGTGGCAGTGTGAAAATAAGCTGCTTTGGTTCTGCTTTTTTTTGCACACCATGGTGATCTCACTTAGAGGAACTTTCTGTCAAAAAAATGCAAATGCAGGGTTCAGGGAGGGGTGTGAGGAAGATCCCCTGGGACTGTAATTGCAGCAGATTTTGTGGCTGGCAGAAAGAAAGTTGTTTTTTTGTTTTTTTTTTTTTTTTAAAGAGGAGTATTTTAAGGAGCTTAGCACAGAAGTCAGAACCAAGAGTCTGGAGGCAAAGTGTGAGTGCAGGACAATGCTTGTCACCCAGAGTGGATGAGTGTGGTGACAAACAGCAGGGCTTCTCCTCAGCTGGAAATGGGAGTTTCTCAGYAAATCAGCTGCTGGTGCAGGAATAGGAGCAGAAAGCAAACAAAGAGGTGAATTGCCCAAGGGTCTCACATATTTCTCACAATTTTTTTGCTGAAAGACTCAGGAATATGAATATGTCTTATTTATCCCATCTTCTCTGATAAGCAAAGCCTTGCTAAACCAGTGACTCTGAGATTATTGTCTGTTGCCATTGTTCTCACTTAAAAAYACATATTAYGTATTGTTTAGGCTATTGCTCTCACCACACATGGTGACATGATTTACCTGAGAAAAAAATCAAAATACAAAACATGAAAAAATAAACAGGACAGGAGTGAAGCTCAGTGTTTCAATTGAAAGGATTGCCATAGACCCTGTTCACAGCAAGGGCAAWGTGTGCAGGAGAAGGAAATCTTACTGATGTTTCCTGAAAGGAGGTCAGCAAACCGTGAAGATACCCAAACAGATTTGGGACGTGTCATGACATCTGTGCTCAGTTAACAAARCAGCAAATCTGGGCACAGGTGAGCTGTGCATTCTCCTGGCCTGTGGCACGTGGCGTTTCCTGCAGGCTGAGCTTGAGTTGGGGTCACAGAGCAGGGGCCAGAGAGAAGGGGCAGCACCAGCTTTTCCTTTTCCTTTTCCTTTTCCTTTTCCTTTTCCTTTTCCTTTTCCTTTTCCTTTTCCTTTTCCTTTTCCTTTTCCTTTTCCTTTTCCTTTT